TTCTATCAATTTCCTGTATGTTGTTCTATTGGCATTTGTCTTATGGTGTTTTCATGCATACAACTTTGTTGTGACTTCATTAGAGTTTTTTTGTGCTTCTTTGAATGTGAGGTTATTCAATTTTTAATGTGCAGAGCCCTGATGAAATCCTAGAGAAATCCCTGTGTAGCTCTGATCGTTCAAGTACTTGTGAGGACTTTGTCAGTCTTGTTAATTCATGGCTAAACAAAATAAAGGTGTTTTGGATTGCCCTTCACATGTTTGTTAAAAAATTTTTAATGTGTTTTTCTTGTATAATTTGTGCTATTACTTTTGTCAAAATACATTAACTGAAACCCACCAATGGTACATGTGCAAGTTCATCAAAATTGGGTATTAAAGCTTACATTTCTTCTCTCCCAAGAGCCCCAATGGCCCAAATTGCAATCTCAGATCCTAAAGCCCTGATTCTCAAAACCCATAAGGTTCAGAATAGAAAGTGCAAAGCATTCATTGCAGCATTTAGTTCTCAAAACCCATGTGTGTGTGTGTGTGTATAATCATTCAGGATTGGATTATTGTTCTGCTTTTTGAGACAACATTGGCTAATATTTTGTTATAAGAAAAAGGCTAATTTTAAAGGATTATCACCCATAATAATAATTATACAGATCTACTATGAGTAGTTTTCAGCATTCATACTAGTGACTCAACTTTGATATTTTCACAGGTAATACGACTGTTGGATTTCCCATCTGTTAAATGCTGCAGATAGTCATTCATGCTATACCTACATCAAATGCATTATGCATTAGGCAGACAAAGCTTAGTTTTTCATACTAGCGAGTTCATCTTATGCACATATCTGACAATAGTTTGAGATCATAATTGCTTAACTAGTAGCCTTTCTGTCCATACTCCAGAAATTGGTTGGAGGAATGGCAGACAAAATGTTTTGCTTTGAAACTCCTTAGAGTATGATATATATTAGGAATTTGTTTGAGAGACCAATGCTTTTCTAATTCTGTTCTCTTCTCTGCAACATTGCTGCTAGTTGATTACTTGTTGCTTCACCTACCTTAAGTTATCACATTGGTGCATATTTTGTAGTGGTCAAAATCACTTAGTGGCATTTTTGGTGAGACCAATCAGAGTGAATTAGCAGCTTTCATGTCATATGCCTTGGCGTTTCCTAGCAACTTTCTTGCTCTTGTGGATACATATGATGTAAGTACGCCTTCCTTGAGTTTTTGCTTTAAACCAAATTTGGTGTAGTCTATTTTATTATAACATATATCCTCACTAACATTGCAGTTTTGAAATCCATTTTACTAGGTAATGAGGAGTGGAGTCCCCAACTTTTGTGCAGTTGCTTTGGCACTTAGAGACTTGGGGTATGTCTCAAAGGTTTATATATAATTACATTAAAGTAGTTTCTTTTCTCATAAAACAATTCCCCACTTGCACAAATTGGGTCAAAAGAATTCCTTTTGCTCCCATTTGATACTTTATCTATGTTCAGTTTAGTAATTTTTTGTCATCTTTCTGATGACTTTCAAACACAAATTTATGTTGTCAAGCTGAATGATTGTATTAGTAGCATACTTTGCTTGATTTGTTGAGAGAAAATGAATTAATGTATGATTATATCTTGACTTTTTGTATGGCTATACTTAAACTGAAATCGAAGTGATATGAAGAAAGGCATTAAGTAACATGGTTTATGTGCCATGCTTCAACAGAAGCTGTCTCTACTTGTGTTTTTCTTTTTCATTTTATATGGATCATTATAGTTGTATTAAAGGCTTTTATTTTGTTGGGTTTCTCCATTCATGATGGGTCATATAGTTTGTAGGTCTAACTTTTGTTTACATAACATCTTATGGACTTATTTTATTGTGGATTTCATCCATACAAGTAAGCATTTGGTCATGCTCAATTCCAGTGATGAGTTAAATACGCAAAATTCAGGTACAAAGCTGTTGGCATTAGATTGGACTCTGGTGACCTAGCATACTTGTCTGGTGAAGCCCGAAAGATCTTTCATACAATTGAGAAAGAGTTTGGTGTTCCTGGTTTTGGAAAAACGAGCATTACTGCTAGTAATGATCTGAATGAGGAAACTTTGGATGCACTAAACAAGCAGGTAGGCAATCTAAACTAATTTTTTTTGAATAATTTATTCGATTCTTTAAGGGCCTGTATCATGATGACTATGCCTCCGATGTAGTACAGTATTCACTCTTGTGCATATAAACTCATGAGGGATTGCACCTCTTCTCTGCAGGGTCATGAGGTGGATTGTTTTGGAATAGGAACCTATTTGGTCACTTGCTATGCTCAAGCAGCTTTAGGTTGTGTTTTCAAGCTTGTTGAGATCAATAATCAGCCACGCATCAAGCTTTCAGAGGATGTATCTAAGGTTTGACCTTGCTGCCAAGAAGTTTAGCAGCATGCTTTCCTCTTCATATGACACATTTCTTCTTTCTTTTTCTCTTCTTTTTATTTATTTATTTTTTAAATGCTAGGTCTCTATACCATGCAAAAAACGATGTTACAGATTATATGGCAAGGAAGGATATTCCCTGGTAGACATAATGACAGGGGAAAATGAACCATGTCCAAAGGTATTAATTTATAGTTCGCGTTTCTCTTGTTGTACCCTTTTTCTTTTGCAGCCAGTAAAGAGGAATATTTTTGCAGCTGGTTGTTCTAGATCTAATTTTAACTTTAGCGACCTGAGACTTCAATGTAGATAGATACTATTATTTTATCCTTTAAACTTAAATAAATGCTTAACTTTTATGCATTATTATCAACATATTAAAGTCTAATATGCCAGCCAAAGTTTTTGAAAGCATATAATTGATGATCTTATTAGTTATTGACAGCCTAAAATCAATTTTTATGCCAGATGTCAAAAACTACTTAACTGCAATAGTATTCACCTGTAAGAGTTTTGATTTCACAGTGTCACAGAGTACTTGTGGGATATAAAATCCCCCATTAGAGCCAGTAGTTCACTTTGATTTAAAAATATATATATATATATATATATTTTTCACTTGGATTGTTTTACATTCCTCTGTTATGTCACCAACAACCAAATAACTAATAGCTGTATGCACCACACCACACAACACAACACTACAATGATGAGGCTGAATGACCTCATTTTTATTCTCTTCAAATTTACAGGTGGGAGAACGAATTCTATGCCGTCACCCTTTTAGTGAATCCAAAAGAGCATATGTGGTACCAAAGCGTGTGGAAGAACTTCTGAAGTGTTACTGGCCTGGGAAGTCAGGTAGCTGCTCATATACCCCCATCTTAGAATTAATCACTACAGAATAGTTTAATTCAGCTCCTATCAAGGAGCAGAAATGATATCTTACTATAATTCAGTACTTCAGCAGTCTCTTTTATTCCTCACTTTTATACTTATTTTTTATTGTTAAACAATTGACATCTTTTGATATAAAGTGTCCAATTTACATAAATTTAGCATTGTCCCTAATCTCTGTTGAACATGAAGAAACTGTATGAGAAACACTATATTCCGGTTCCCTTGCTACATCAAATATTGAGTCACTTCTAGTCTTAGGCTCCATATTTATGTTTGAATTCTAGTAACTCACTGTTAAACGGAAGTGAGGCTCATCAGCAATTTGTTTATTCCCATTTTCTGAAACAAGTTTTTTCCCCCTCTTGAAGATAAAGTAAGAGAAGAGTTACCAGCTCTCGATGACATTAGGGACCATTGCATCAAACAGCTTGAGCAAATGAGGCCTGATCACATCAGGAGATTAAACCCTACACCATACAAGGTATTGCGGGCTAACCTCTTCAAAATACTGCTTTTTCTTGTCAAACTTGTTGCTAGTATAAAAGTATTTTCTTATAACTAAACAGGTGAGTGTAAGCGCAAAACTGTATGATTTCATCCATTTCCTATGGCTCAATGAGGCGCCTGTCGGGGAGCTGCAGTGAGTATCGCTGATAACATGCATGGAATAGTGTACAAATAGCCAGTACAAGTAATGATTCCAAGGAGTTGGAGGAGCTTCGTGATATAGTCTTCATACATCACATTATTGTCTTCCTTTATGCCTAATAATCCATTATTTTTCGCATTGCTTAATAAAATGAATCATTGCTTTTTCTTCTGCTGTCCAAATTGTCTTATTCTTGTCAAAACTTTCGGCTACTTAAATTTTTAGTTGATGATACGTATCTGTACATATAAATATTTTCGAGGCAGAATAAGAAAGAAACGTGATTCAGACTTGTAATAATGAGGTCGTTCCTCTGCACCCAATCAAAGGCACATCGGTCTCGAATTATTTGAACTGTAGACGCAGCCGAATCAACCACCGGCCGGCGAACCTTGGCCAACTCTGTCTCCAGTGGCATCCTCTCACTTGTCTCCTCCACCAGCAGCAAAAATCAGTTAAATCCTAGTAATCGCAACCGCATTAGTCAATAAATGATGTCTAACTCATGAGAAGAGTTACTAAGCAAAATGTAACTTTCTTCTTTTGCACTGGGCTTTGAAAATTCTCCTAATAGTTATAATGGTACTATGGGCCAATGGAGTTTCATTTGACCAACTTTCCAGCCTTGGGCCACGCTCGAGTATGTTTCGATGATAGATTTTTGTGTTATTTTTGGGAACACATTTGATGTCATTTGATGTAGTTATATGTTCCCTTACAACTTAAATAAGAGTTATAAATGAATTTCTACCGAAAGACGCATACAAGCGAGAGAGAAGAATCAGATTATGTCACTGCTACGAAAATCTGATGAAACAGCATTGTACAGACATTGATAGGGATTCTATTATTACCACAAATAAGGTAAAGATCCAATATTATGGCTCCAAAATCCAACAACAATAACCACCACCAGCACCACCTCCTTACAGCAGGAGATTCTAACAATCAGATTCGAAGTGAGTTATTACTGATGGGATGGGCAACCACTGAGCATATTCAGCCAACGCTAGTGTGTCCAAAATCTAACCACCCACACTACCGGCACCTTCATTTCAATTCAATATGAAATGTTGTTGGACAGCAGCCTGGCAGTGCTTGCATAAGAAAAATGTGCAAAAGTTAAGGCGATGTTGGTTTAACTGTTCATTTGGCAAGAAATAAGGAGATCTAGCATGCAAAAAAAAAAAAAGAAAAAAAGAAAAAATCTCTCTTTTTTGGACTCTGGATTACTACTTCAACACTGTTAAAATTACATTCGGAGAAAAACTGTTTAGCCGGGTTTTTTTGATTCGACAATGTAAAAGGTCCCATCATGCCAGCTTCTGTTCTTTTCATCACTATCACACCCTTTACTCTCTCTCTCTAGCCACTTTGCTACAACGCCTATGAGTGACTTCAACCATTCACTTTGATTCCTTGAAAACAGTAAATCCGTTGGCTTTGTATTTTTTTTTTTTTGCCTTGTTTCTTTTCGGCTGAATTCTTGGATCGGAGCAGCTGTCTGATCGGAGAACTGGGTTAATGGCAGACCAACTATCAAAGACAACCTCAATTTTTGGTTTACGTTTATGGGTAGTTCTTGGAGTCTGTGTAGGAGCAGCTTTTGTTCTCCTCCTTTTCCTCATTTCTCTTTGGCTTGCTTCAAAACGAACTAGACAGAAATCTTCTTCAAAACAAAGTGTCCCAGATGTTTCCAAAGAGATCCAGGAGATCAAAATCGACCCTCCAAAACCTCACAGGACTCAGATTCAGGCTGACCCTTATCCTGACCCTGACCCAAGTACAGGCATTGAAAGACAGTCCCTGCTTCTGCCTCCGGAAGAGGAGAGTCCAACTGGTTATCATGGAATTCACATTGAGATTGGGAAAGATCATAGAATTTCATATCCAGGGTTGTCTCCACATACAAGTGGTGAGGCACGTGGTGATTACGTAGCAGGAGTGGTGCCTGAAGTTTCACATTTGGGATGGGGGCATTGGTATACTTTGAGGGAGCTTGAGGTTTCAACAAATGGATTTGCACATGAAAAAATAATAGGTGAGGGTGGGTATGGGATTGTTTACCATGGTGTTTTGGAGGATAACACTCAGGTTGCTGTTAAGAACTTGCTCAACAACAGGTGCTCGAACCGGCTATATCAATTCTCTATACTTTTATGTCAATTTGGATTAATTAATTGGAATCCATGGTAGAGCAATTCTTTTTGTTGGTATGCTGTATTCTTAATTTCTAACTAATTACTGAATTTAGACATCTGGAAATCCACAGGGGACAAGCTGAGAAGGAGTTTAAAGTTGAAGTAGAGGCAATTGGACGTGTTAGGCATAAAAATTTAGTAAGGTTGCTGGGTTACTGTGCTGAAGGAGCTCACAGGTACTTTGGCTTTGCTCAACTGCAGAAAATTACTAAATTCTTAATAACTTAATGGCATTTTATTTAGAAAATCTAAGAAAATTATTGACAATTACTTGTTGCCTCATTGTTAGGATGCTGGTATATGAGTACGTAAATAATGGAAATTTAGAGCAGTGGCTTCATGGGGATGTAGGGCCTTGCAGTCCTCTTACTTGGGATATTAGGATGAATATAATCCTGGGAACAGCAAAAGGGTTTGACTGAGATCAAATATGAAGCTTACATTTTGTCTTTTATTGATGCTGTTCTATTCCTGCATTATTTAATTAGTCATAGCTGGATTGTTTATTAGGTTAACTTACCTTCATGAGGGACTTGAGCCTAAAGTTGTTCACCGTGATATTAAATCAAGCAACATCCTACTTGATAAACAGTGGAACCCCAAGGTTTCAGACTTTGGCCTTGCCAAGCTCCTGGGCTCTGAGAGCAGCTACGTTACAACCCGAGTCATGGGAACATTTGGGTTTGAAAAATGGCTCCCTTTCTCTCTGCCTATTTTGTGTGTTTGGGGTTTAGGCACTTCTTACATTTAGTTTCTTCTTTTTGTAGCTATGTAGCTCCTGAATATGCTAGCACAGGCATGTTGAATGAAAGAAGTGATGTGTATAGTTTTGGGATTCTTGTTATGGAAATTATTTCTGGGAGGAATCCAGTTGATTATAGCCGGCCTCCAGAAGAGGTTTGCAGCACATAGCTAATCCAATATGATTTTGCTGGTTATACGTGCAAAAATATTCTTTTTTTCTTCTCAAAAAAAAAAAAAAAGCTTTTATAAGTTTCATTCTTGCTTTCCCATATTGCATTTTGATTAAAAGTCAAAGAATTTCCAGGTGAACTTAATTGAGTGGCTTAAGAAGATGGTTGCTAACAGGAATCCAGAGGGAGTATTGGATCCTAAGCTACCTGAGAAGCCTACTTCAAGAGCATTGAAGCGAGCTCTACTTGTAGCTTTACGTTGTGTGGACCCAAATGCACAAAAGCGACCTAAACTGGGGCATGTTTTGCATATGCTTGAAGCTGAAGAATCCCCCTTCAAAGATGTATGTATACAAATCTGCATACAAGTTCTGTTTAAATCAAATTTAAATGCATATGAGGAGTTTAATCAAATCAAATTTAATGAATTTAGAACCTTACGAAAATTAAAATATACAGGATATGATTGTTTGCATTAAAGAATTTTAAGTGAAAATGCATGTGTACTAAACCGTTGAAGAAGTCTTTTCGAAAATTCACAATATGTCATCTTGTAGTGCTTAATGATGCAAACATCCGAGGTGGATGCAGAATGTACATAAATTTAGCTTTGAAACTGAATTTCATACCGTTACTCCAGTTTCCTTGCTATGGATATTGTAGTGCATCTAAATATTTTAACATTTCCCTTTTTATGCGGTTGATATACCTGGTTTATCTTCATGAACTTTCATGCCTTTCCCTCCTCTCCCCAACATTTTTCATGATGTTGAAAATTGTGACCATTAAAAGTAGAGGAAAAGGGCCACCTGATTTAGTTTGAATTTTTAAGCTGAAGGAACCCTACTGATTTATTGACCTAAGCAACTTGTTTCAGGATTGCAGAGCTGGAGGGGATGCAGGACAGGCCAATCATAACAATCTGAAGGATGAGTTGATAGAGAAAAGGATGGCAGAGTCAGGTGGCTATGAAGGTGCAGTACATACTAATGATGCATAATGGTGAGTTAGTGACGTCACGATGTGAAGAACAAAAGCCCTGAATATATGCTGAAATTGTTTGAGGTGCATTATACATTCTAAGTTCCTTGTTCTACATTTTGCAGTGCCAATTACATGATCCATTTCTTTTTTTGGCTATTTGTTCCTCTATGTTTGTTGCCTTGTTGGTGGCATCTATTCTTCATTGCAGATGTAATATACCTTCCAAAAGAAGGTCCAAATCAAATTATTTTGATCAATTTGTTTTCTAGGAGAGGCATTGAACGTTAAGTTTTGTCATGTGATTCAGAATCAAATTGTTGCTCACAAATTCATTTTCAACGAAACAAATTAAATTCTGGATGATTATTATCAGCAACCGTCTGCCAAATCATTACTGCAGTTTGTGAGCACATTTGATGAGCAAGACTTGAGCACCAGAGACATTTGAGTCCATTTATGACGCTTGACTTTTGAAATTGTTAGTCCAAGCTTCATGAAGACATGAACAGAGAGGTTATGTTCTGACCTAAGAAAATATCTCCTTCATTTACGGTTAGCTGCACCAATTCGCATTATCTATACTGCCAATATGAAGCTTCCTCGCCTCTCCCTTTTCTGGTAAACTTTTATGTGACAATTTTGTGCCATATAATGGTGGGACAAGACTTTATGATGCATTATCTGTGCTTCCAAGATGCATCAGAAACTTTACTGTAGGAAAAATTACATGGTAGGGACAAATGGTACTTGTTAGACAGTCCACATGCTTACAAGCCTACAATTCTTCTCAATTGGGGCACATACACATGATCTTCCATCAAAATTCAACCGTATGTAGGAACCCCATGTTTTCCCTGGAATAGGTAAGAATTGAATCGTCAAAGAAACTTGTGACATTTTCTTTTTTCAACATTTCCTCTTCCAGCTGGACCCTGTATCTTTTGTTTGCAAAATTCTAATCTTTAAGTGAGTTAAGATATGAAATATTTATGCTGATAAGGAATAATAAAGAATTGTCAAACGAAATTAGAGCAATATATGAATATGTTATCTGACAAATGAAAACACAGCTGCAAGAACAAATGCTCCTGCTAATTAAGCACAAGAAACTGATGAGCTACTCCTCTTAAAATCACTGTCGTGTGACTCATATCTTTAAATTAAAAAGGAAATATAAACAGGCAAACTGGTGACTATTATAACCATAACAAGAGAATTGAGTTCAAAATTATGACCAGCAACCACCGCAGTTGCACTGGTGTGGCATCTATATTAGCGAAGTTGGAGTTAGATAGTGAAGAATTTTCTTTGGTCGTTTGAGTAGCAGCAGCAGCAGCGGCAGCAGGCGGAGGAGGTGACATTGGAGGGATGTCACAGGTGCCAAATGTAGCATTGACCTGCCAAATATAACAATTACTGGTTAAACTAGATTTGGTACACAAATTAATGTTTCAAAAGTTAAGTAGCATATTAAATGTTAACAGACCTTACAATAGGCTATATTGTCACAGCCACAGGTGAGATGACCATTAGCAACATCCACAGCTTCTGGGGCTCCTCCACCATCACTCCTCTGCAACAAAAATCAGTTTCAATGACTGGTAGAACTTCCTAAATCAATATTAAAATGTTCTATAAGATTCAGTTCAGTTCAGGAACCTGGTAAAAATCAACAGCAATGAAGTTTGGCCATCGATTTCCAGCTGCTTTGTGACAGGTTTTCAGCATGGTAACCAGCGGACCTGAATTTTCAGAACAAGCTGCTGTCTCATTTGGATTCGTAGGAAAGTAGTTTTGAAGAACCAGTGATCTTGTTTTTGTATTCATAGGAGATGATTCAGCACGGTTTGGACAGGAACCAGTTTTCATCCCATCATTTCCATCTGCAATTTCAGATCAAAACATATTCTAAATTTTGTTTCTACCTCCCACCAAGTACACATTTAGAAAGGGTTGAAAACAGAACTGGAACTCACACTGGTTTTCCACCACATATCTCCACTCATAAGCAATCCCCTCAGAAGCCTCCTTAGCTGATTTGGAGGTGAAAACAACCAGTCTCTCGTTCTGCTTGACCATATCATCCACTGTGGGCCAATCTTCACCATTCTTAGGCATCTTTGAAACAGGAAACCGGTATTTACTCAAACCAGATGCATTGAAAACCTTTGTTAAGCCTTGTGGAGATACCACATAATCCTCAATAAATATGGTGATTATCTCTGATGGATTTGCCTCTAGAAACGCCTGTATCTCTTTGAGGACATTAATGGCAGGTTGCTGAAGGTAATCAAAGATTCATGAACGATTAAGTAAGAATTTAAAAGATAAAATTTTCTTGAGATATACATATATTCGAGTAATTTAAGCACCTATTGAACTTACAAATGACGTGGCATTGAAGCATTGACCACCGAAGGAGTGACATAACCATATGTTACCACTGAAGTCATACATATCCAGCATAAGTCCTCGAACCCCATTCTAGAAGAAGATTCATTTCTTGTAAAGACAATTCAATTCAAACATAATCCAATCTTTAATTAGATAACAGGAACATTTAACAAAAAAAACACTAAAATCTAAGCTAATCTTCTTGGACTTCTTAAACAAATCAAGTATGCAAATTAAAACACTAAATTCAGAGTTTAGCTTAGTTAGTTCATGCAAACATCGTTAAAAACTGGTGTCCAACAAATTTGAAATTCATCCCCAACACATACAATCTCATCTCCGATTCTCAAGTTGTTCGGAAAAATCAAACAAAATAGAACAAATAATCTGTTCTGATAACTCTCGATATATGGATATGATGGGAAATTCTATGCTCTGGGGTCCATACTAATCATAGTGCATGTTAAATGAGAATGATGGAGGGAGGGGTTAGCTGGAAAGCTTATATATGTTAATCAAAAGACTCTTAACAACTCATCATATCAAAATATGCTTAATTTTCAATCAAAGCACAGCTATGTCTACACTTTGCTGCATCTAACATACTATTTCCTCTTCCCTTTTGTGTTTGAGCGCCAAACCTATTGCTAGCTATAAAAAAGGACTAAACTACCCTTATGAATACATTTTATAATAATTAAATCAATAAGATTCACCATGCAATAATAGACCGTAATCAAGGGCATTTTGGTTACTTGAGAAATCACTTACAAACATGCCCTATTTAAAAGTAACTAACCAATGCTAAAGCACACAACATTTATAAAAATTAAAAACTGATATTCTAAAACAAAAAAATAGTAAAAAAATGAAAAAAATGAAATTTGGAAAATCTTACCTTAAGTTGGTTGGTGATGGAGTCTTCCTGGTTAGTGGGAGAAATAATAGCCGATCCAGTTTCAGATTTTGCCCCTTTGAGGGCAAAAGAGTTATGAGTAGTCAGCCAAGAATATTGGTTAAATGGCAAACCTTTTACCTAACCATTTATCAAACCCAGACAAAAAAAAATCAATAAAAAAAAGTTATTACATGAAATTAAATGTAATTAAAACCAACGACTGAAACCTTTGATGTAGGGTTGAGTGGTTGAATCCGTGAGCATCTGGGTCGGGTATTTCCATTGACCGAGCAAGTTTGACATGTTAACCCGGAGTCACATGCACTGCTAGAAGAAGAAGAAGAAGAAGAACATGTTTCTCCGATCTGTTTAAAGGTTAAAAAACGTTCAATGCATGGTTTACGTAAAGAAAAGAAATGGGTTTTGACTTGGAAAGTTTTTAATTACCTTGAGACTGGAAGACAAGGAGAATAGGCAAAATGTGATAAGAAAAAGTTGAAGAATGGAGAAGGACAGATGAGTTGAAGGATTGAAACTCTGCAAAACAAGAGTAAAAATACAATGAAAAGAAGATTGTCAATCAAAAGGGTTTAGCAGGGGAAAGATTAAAGTAGGAAGAGAGATGATAAAAGGGCATTGCAGCAGGGTATTACATACCTTCATTTATGACTTTTGAGAGAACCAGAGAGAAACGAAAGTGATGGAAAGCTTTGGGTCTTGAATGAAATGGAGTTTGGGATATTTGGTTATGGAGAAACAGGGATAGAAGACAGAAAAGAACAAGGGACGTATCAGTTTTGGTAAAGGTAGGGATAGGCTGTGATGTCTTGTCGTTAGTCGGTTGCAGGTTTTTCATTTTTCTTCTATCTTCCTTTTTTATTTTTCCTTTATATATAATTTGTTAATCCTTTTTTAGAAATTTAAGTATTCTTGTTGTTTTTTTTTTTATTTAGACTAATATTCTTATAGATTTAATTATAGAAAATAAAAACTATTTATTCCTATTTATTTATTAATATTAGAATTTGCTTTATAATTAAAAATTAAAAATTCAAATTTCAATTAAATTTAAAAATTTTTTATTCAAATTTCAATCCCTATTCAAAAGATTAAAAAAAAAAAAAATCTTTATAAGTTACTAGCTATTTTAGGTAATAATGAATTTTTAATTTCCTTTTTTTAAAACTCTTTAACAAATGTTCACTTTCAAATTTCCTTCATTTGGCAAATTTTTTTTTTTTCATTTGTTAATTTTTGCAGTTTTTCATGACTGGGTTAATCTAAGAAGGGCTGCTGTGTTTCCCACTTTTTTGGTTATATATGCATTTTTATTTCTGGGAAAAATAGAAACATTAGAAAAAGTATTTCATTTCATAACTACTATAGTAAATGGAAATTGGAATCACTCAAATTTGATACTTCAAAGTATTAGAATTGATGGTTTCAAAAAAAAAAAAAATTCCTCCATTGGTGTGTGGTTTTTTGGGTTATAAAAACAAAATTATTCATTAACAGCTAATTTAAAATTTTAATTTTAATACTTACAAAATTTATTTATTTTCAAATTATAATTTTTTTATAATAAAAAAACCAGCTTGATTTTGTACCACAAGTTTAGCATAAGGGAGAATGTTCACATTCGCAATGCTTGGTTCATGCTCCTTTTTATTATGTAGTTAGCAGATTAATTTCCACGTATTTATAATACCCTCAATAACTTAGACATTTCAAAACCACTTTGATAAATTTTAAAAATAAATTTTCAAGAGTTATATAAAAAATATAATATAATTTTCATAAATTTATTTTCAAAATTTATATTATATTTTTGAAAATAAAATTTCGAGAATCATATTATATTCTCGAAAATTTATTTTTGAAAATATATAAATTTTTGTTTAAATATATATTTAATTATTAATTCTTGATAACATTTAATTTTAATTTAATTAAAATAAATACATTTAATTTAAAAAAATAATACTAAAATAAATAATTTGATATGTTAGAATCTTCAAACATTTGTAATAATTTCTTTAAGGTAAAGTTTAATTTTGACAACAAGGACCTCTAATCTTAGAGATCTTTACTGTTGAATTTATCAATCAACTGATAATATTGTTAGGATTAATTTTTTATAAGGTGTTCGAATTTGGATTAGTATGCATACATACACATGAGTCATTGATATGTTCATTCTTATTTATCATATGTATGAATGAAAGAAAAATATTAATTTTCAAGTATACATGAACATAAAAAATTTTTGTCTTAGAAACCAGAAAATCAAGAACATTTTTTTATCCATACAAAACTAGAGAACCAAAAAATGGTGTTCTTGATTTTTTGGAATCTCATGAAAAAAATAAGTTTATGTCATGCATATTTGAGAATATTGATTTTAATTTCATTGTACATATAATCAATTAAATAGGTTCATAAGCGCATGATTAAAATTTTCAATAATTAAAAATAAAATTAAATTTTTGAAAATAAATATTCCATAAATTTTGATTTTTTTCATAAATAAATATATGAAAAGACTGCAAATTTTTCAAAAATAAATATCCAACAAGTATTGAAATTTTTTTGAAAATAGATATATAAAAAATTATGAGGCTTTTTAAATATTTATTTTCAAAAATCTTAAAATTTTTTAGATATTCATTTTTTAAAACCTCAATTTCAGAAATTAAAAGAGAAGAAAGGAGAAAGGATATGAATAGAAAAAATAGAAACCGAAGGGTGAGGTATATTTAGTAAAAATAAAAAATTAAATTTAAAATGAATTTTAAAATGAGATATATAAAATAATAAATAGGATATAAACAGAATTTCCGATCAAAAGAATCATGCAAGTAGACCGTCCTCTAATTGTAAACTCTAAATAAATAAATAAATAAATAAAGTACAGTTCTTTTTCTTTGTGCTGTCATCCGTATCTTGTTTGCCATCGATGCAAATCTGGAAATGAATGGGGTTGGTAGATATAGATTATATCTGAAACTAGTTCTGTTTTCAAGTAAAACAAGATTAGGCCAGTTTTGGTAGGAATAGGATTCACAATAAGAGGAGAGCTTGGTTTTTGCCATTGAATAGATAAATTCAGCAACCCATGGAAGAGGAAACGAAGTTGAAACTCATCATCAAGACTTGAATTGAAAAAGTCTGCAATTTTGTTGAACTGTAGAAGAATTGACTATCAACAGCAACTAGCAGAATGAAATATAAAAATCAAAAGTTAAAAGTAAAAAAAAAAAAAAATTTATGCAATAAAGGCAAGAGGGTAAAGTTATTTGTATGGGGGTTAAGGGACAAATTGAGGGTGAATAGCACTCTTGCTGGCCATGCAAATTTGAGGACTATTCTCTATGAGTTAAAACTAAAAGGGTAATTTATGGTCTGTCTCCCACTACCAAATGTGCCTTTAGCTAAGGAAAAGGTGGAAAAAAAGAGAGGGAGTGGGGTTTTGAGAACATGTAAAGTTCTGTGAAGTTGCACATCTGATGTAAATTTAAGATCTTGACAACGGTGATAAAGGAATAACTGTGAAAACTAGAAACTTTTGCTGTTACTCTGCTTTTTAGCATCAGAGCCGAGAAAGGAAAGAAAATCATACTGGTTTATGCCAAGATCATGTTCAGCAAAGGGCAGAGTTCAACCATGAGTATTCTTAATGTTATGTCCACAATTTTGTTCATTGTCTCCTTCCCTTCATTCACTCTGGCTAAATCTGACACTTATATCATCCACATGGACTCATCAGCCATGCCTAAAGCCTTCTCCAGTCACCAGAGCTGGTATTTGTCATTGCTTTCTTCCATATCAGCCACCTCTGAGGTAGCTGCTGCCTCCACCTCGACTTCTAAACATTTATACACTTACACTAATTCTATCAATGGATTCAGTGCAACTCTCACTTTATCTGAGCTTGAAGCCCTCAAGAATTCTTCTGGGTACATTTCATTTACTCGAGATCTTCCTCTTAAGGTACATACCACTCACACTTCTCAATTTCTTGGTCTAAGCTCAGTGTCAGGTGCATGGACAGCTCCAAATGATGGTGAAGATGTCATAATTGGCATAGTGGACACTGGAATTTGGCCAGAGAGTGAGAGTTTTAGTGATGAGGGAATGACTAAAGTTCCCCCCAGATGGAAAGGAAAATGTGAGTCAGGCACCGAATTCAATTCTTCCTTTTGCAACAAGAAACTCATTGGGGCTCGATTTTACAATAAGGGTTTGCTTTCTAACAATCCAAAATTAACTATTCCAATGAACTCCCCCAGGGATATCAGTGGACACGGAACACATACTTCATCAATTGCTGCTGGCAACTACGCACAAGGAGCCTCCTATTTTGGCTATGCCTCTGGAACAGCCAGAGGCATGGCTCCTCGAGCTTATATAGCCATGTACAAAGTAGTTTGGAGATACGGAACCTACACATCCGATGTACTTGCTGCAATTGATCAGGCGATTCAAGATGGAGTGGATATATTGTCCTTATCCTTGGGCTTAAGTGTGGATGACCATTTTTTAGAAGATGATCCAATAGCAGTAGCCACTTTCGCTGCCATGGAAAGGGGTATATTCGTAGCAGCATCAGCGGGAAATGATGGGCCTTTGTATTGGACTTTAATCAATGGAGCGCCATGGATGTTAACTGTTGGTGCTGGTTCCATAGATCGTCAATTTGATGGAACTTTGACTTTGGGAAATGGGCTGCAAATCACCTTTGAATCCTTGTATCCAGGTAATTATTCTCTAAACCAAATGCCCCTGGTTTATGTCGATGAATGCCTAAATGTGGAGGAACTAAAGCAATTAAGAAACAAGATTATCGTTTGCAAGGATCATCTAAGTATAAGCAATCAAGTTGAAAATGCTGAGTCTGCAAGGGTTGCTGCAGCTGTTTTCATATCCAATTATTCTTCTTTATCTGAACTTTACACTAGAAGCTCATTTCCAGCAGCATTCATTGGCCTCCATGACGGCCAAACTGTGATAGGCTACATAAAGCAGACTGCTAATCCAATGGGAAGATTTCAATTTGGGAAAACAACTTATGGTACAAAGCCAGCACCAAGGGTAGATGCTTATAGTTCCAGAGGTCCATTTTTAAGATGTCCCAATGTTCTAAAGCCGGACATATTGGCTCCTGGTTCGTTAGTGTTAGCATCATGGTCTCCAATTAGTGAAGTTACTTATATCGGATCACATCCATTGTTCAGCAATTTCAATCTCTTATCAGGAACCTCTATGGCTACACCACATGTGGCAGGCGTGGCAGCACTTATAAAGAGAGCACACCCTGATTGGAGCCCTGCAGCCATTCGTTCTGCCCTTATGACCAATGCCAATTCATTAGACAACACTTTAGGCCCCATTAAAGATGTTTCAAATTATAACCTGCCCGCTAGTCCTTTAGACATTGGAGCTGGCCACATCAATCCCATCAAGGCCCTTGATCCCGGGCTTGTGTACGATGCAACACCAGAAGACTACATAAAGCTTCTCTGTGCAATGAACTACACGTCAAAAAAAATTCGAATCTTTACTAAGTCAAGTTACAACTGCACGAGTCGGTCCTTGAATCTTAATTACCCATCTTTCATAGTTTACTTCAACGATGGGCAATCAACTTCGAATGAAAAAGTTGTGCAAGAATTTCAAAGGACTGTGACATATGTAGGCGAGGCAGTAATGGCTTATACGGCAAAGCTGACAGGAATGGATGGTATAAAGGTGATAGTGGAGCCTCAGAAGTTGGTTTTCAAGCAGAAATATGAGAAGCAAAGCTACAAGCTGAGGTTGGAGGGCCCAAAATTATTAAAGAAAGACGTGGTTTTTGGTGCTTTGAGTTGGACGGATGATGATGGTAAATACATGATAAGAAGTCCAATTGTTGCCACAAGCATCACGCCATCACCATAATCTACTTCACCAAAGTTAGAATTAGTTTGGTCTATTATGTACGTATTACTGAATAACATTGCAATATGATATCAATTAAGATCCTTTTCCTTGCTTCTTCCCTTTGTTCTTTTCTCTTCCCTTATCTTTTTTCTGTTTCTTCCTTTTACAGAAACAACCCCTTCTAGCCCACATGCTAGAACGAAGACTCCTCCCTTTCCCATATTCATAGCAAACCAGTGAGTCCTTTAGCTATTGGTGTTGTATATATTACCATATTATCCAATATTTATTCATGTAGAAACGTTTTAAATATTTTTGGGGCTTATAATACCTCGATTAACATTCTTTTAACATAATTTTACATACAATCATTTGAAAATAATATGGTTAAACTACTATCTTTAAAAATATTTTTGAAGTAATTATCTAAAGTTCCTTGTTCTTCAAAATTTCTTAACTTGTCGCAAGAAGGCATTGAACCCCGGATCACTTGTAGCACCATTGAGTTAGACTATGTAAGAATTCTCTGTAGAATAAAATTTACTAATATTATACTATTAAGCAAAATTGAATGATCACAAATATCAACTTCTTAAAATTGTTTAAACCCATCTTCGGACTTCAATTTCGCACCTTTCATTGCCTTCTTTAGTGCTAGAGACACGCTTGGGCCCAATAGAAGCGAGAACTTCCAAAGCAAATTATACTACTTCACAGCTGGCTCCAATTATCGGTTTCAAGGTGAAGGTCCTGTGCTAAAAGATGTTAAATTTTAAGGAAAACAAAGTACCAAAACAGAAGCTATAAAGTCAGATTAAAGGGAGCCAAAAGTGATGAAAGATCACTATTCTCTTACTTCGGCGCTCAATTTGTAAGGTAATTTTCACTTTAAACTATTTCACAAAAAATATCTCATAAATTTAATTTAATTCTCAATTTATATATCATAAAATTATAAAAATATCCTAATATGAAATTAAAGTATCACACAGATGCTGATCCAGAGATCCAACAGTGGCCACCAGAATCATCATCTACTCTTTGTTCAATCTATCGAGATTTTGTATACTTTTCTTAGATTTTCTAGCTGGTGAAATATTCAAGCTTTGGTGTCAGTATGTGATAGATTGTCAATCTTGCACGGTCGGTTGTTAGTATTTTCCTAAGGCATAAGACCCGCAGAGTCCATGCACCTTGGTCCAACCCACACGATACAAAGTTTAACAAACCAGGCGAAAAATAAGGTTGACTTTCTTTACAAATTGAAGACAACTTGTCGACTAAAACTCAGGGAAGGTGCATCTTTTAGCGCCCTCAAGTCAACCTAATTTGCTGCATTCGGCACATGATAGGAGCCTCTCAAGGGCCAACTGATCATCCTGTGAACGTACGTATATATGGTTAACTAAAGGTGAAAACTTACAGATTGCTTGAATTAATGAATTTGATCCTGATAAAATCCAGAAAATTGTCTAAAATGTTCTTGAGACAGAGTATTGGCCCATGGGAAAAATTTATCAAACGATCCCCCAGAAAAGCTACAGGGGAAGCTTTAAGATTTTGCTTCATATATAGTTCATCCCCTAGATTTACAATTTAGAATATAAAATGTATGCAGTGAGATTTTGAGGCCCACTCCATATCCTTCCAGGCGATCTTGTCTCAGTGCTTTCAACACAAAGTTCAATGCTGTTACTTTGATCTTGATTCACTCACAGTAGACTCATCTTAACAGTTTCTTTTGCATAGATCATAAAAAAACTCAGGCTAGAGATCTGCAGTGAAACTAGTTTGTGTAAAAATAGTTGAAGTTGACGAATATATATGAATACAGAAAATCATTAACCGGACAACTGCCATTGTCTAGTCGTCTCTCTCTGTTAAGTCCCACCTCCCATTAATTACTTTCATACACAATGACTTCGATAACAATAAACAAAACACAATTGCAACGTGCAGACACCAAAACGTACGTTTGAGAGATCCTACACATATGGTAAACATTAATTAAAGTAAACAAATCAATAAAACCCCTCTACCCTCTTGGTCTTTCTGCGTCGATCTCCTTCACTGACTTTATTTCTTCAACTAAAAGAACAGCGAAAGTAGCAAAAAATGTCGACGCATCTCTCCAAAACTGACTCAGAGGTGAGCAGCCTAAGTCAATCTTCACCAGCAAGGTCCCCTCGTCGCCAAGTCTACTATGTTCAGAGTCCATCAAGGGACTCCCACGATGGTGAAAAGACTACAAACTCATTCCACTCCACGCCGGTGCTCAGCCCCATGGGCTCACCTCCTCATTCTCATTCCAACTCTTCATTAGGCCCTCATTCCTCACGTGAGTCTTCTTCCACCCGCCTGTCTGGATCCCTCAAACCACATCGAAAACAGGAAGGATCTCGCAAGGGTCGCAAGCCATGGAAAGAGTTCGATGCCATTGAAGAAGAAGGTTTGCTTGATGGTGATGGTGCTCATCATGGCCTCCATCGTCGGCGTTGCTATTTCCTTTCATTTGTTGTTGGTTTCTTTGTGCTTTTCACTACGTTTTCTTTGATCCTATGGGGTGCTAGTAGACCTCAAAAACCTAAAATCACCATGAAGGTTAGAACTTCAGATTTTTTTTTTTTCCCTTTTCCATTCTTTCTCATCATAAAAACCCGGATCATTTCTAGATTTGACATGCATGGTCTTTATTTTAATTTTCCTTTTCCGAAATGTTTCCTTTAAGTTTAGTCTTTTGAATACAAAATTGTGAAAAGGTTATGACATGATTTTTTTTTTAGAGCATTTCGTTCAATGAATTTGTGGTTCAAGCTGGTGCGGATTTCTCAGGAGTGGCTACTGAAATGGTGTCGATGAACTGCACAGTGAGGCTCACATATCGTAACACAGCTACATTTTTTGGGGTTCATGTAACATCAACATCCTTAGATCTCTCTTACTCTCAGCTCACTGTGGCCACCGGATCGGTAAACCAGCCCTGTCTCTAATATTCAATGTTTTATGTACTTTGTCTTCTTTCATTGGGGTTCATTTATTTATTCTTACTAAGCGAATTATTATATATAGTTTTTTTTTTTTTGGCAGATGCGCAAGTTTTATCAATCAAGAAAGAGCCAAAGAGCGTTAACTGTCGTGATGATAGGGAGTCATATTCCCTTGTATGGAGGCGGGGCTAGCTTGGCTAGTGTCAACGGTGCACCGACTCAGCCAGTGCCATTGACACTTAGCCTCATGGTTCGTTCTAGGGCTTATGTTTTGGGCAAGTTGGTCAAGCCCAAGTTCTATAAGAGAATTCAATGTTCGGTCACCATGGACCCCAATAAGATGAATATGGCTATTTCACTACAAAACAAATGCATTTACAGCTAGAGCTGTACTTTGATCATTGTTTGATGGTTTGAAGTTATTTTGATAGAAAAAAAAATTGGTACAGTGAGATAAACAAGAGTGGACAGGCAAGTTTCCGCTGAGTGGCTTGGATTTTGGAGACAGATTAAGGATTCTCTGGCTGTAAGAATCAAAGGCATTAGAAATCTAGTGGTGGTCGGTGGTTTAAATATTATAGATTTTGGCCCCCCATAAGCTTTGTTTACGCTTGCAATAAGTTTTGATGCTGTTCACCAAATTCTTGGACATTTTGATGAATGCCTTGCTTATTATTATTTATTTTTGCCTTCCAATGGGCATTTAGATGTAAAATATGATTATAAGCAAGTCAAGTGAAGTTGGAATTCAACTCAAATTTATTATTTTCAACCTTGAATGATTTTTTTTTTTTGAGATATATCCATTTCGGACTTAAATTATATTTTGAATTGTTAACTGTAGATATGACATGATAATACAAATACAAAAATGATATAAAAATTAAAATAATATAATTTAAAATTTTAATAAAAATTATATATAAAATTAAAAAAAAATTAAAAAATATATTTTATATCTATCATGCTAACATAAATTTTATATGAAATTTTTATATTTTACACTTATTTAATATGAAAGTGATATAATACAAATACACAAATTTTAACTCTAATTATATCTGCTAAATATACGAGTTGAGTTTGAAATTGGCTTTCAACATGTGTGCTTGAGCTAGTATACTTTATAAATTTAAGCTAAAGGTTTAGCCTATTTGTTAATGCTACTCAAAGAATTACTTTATTATGGAATTTCGTAAATTTAAAATGTTTGCAAGGTGGAAAAGCGTCCTTAGAGGCATAGCGGGAAGCCCGATTACCTTTGGGCTAAGCTTAGGAAAGAATTCTTTGGGATGTCACTTGATTTGACCCAAATTTTTATTTCAATAAATGAAGAATATTATACTAAATATAACTATATTATTATTATTATTATTATTATTATTTTTAGTTTTAAAAGTTTATATTCATAAAATTTATTAAGTACATTTAAAACCAAGCTCAAGTTCAATTAGAAAAATAGTAAATGATAACGCTAAGAAATAGTGACTATTAGATTCATGTGCAACCTTACAGTTTTTAAATTGGGGCCTGGACCAAAGGAGAGAGAGCCTTTGAATCCTAACTTGGAAATGTCCACCCCCTCCAGGCAGACCAAAGGGGCCCAAGGCCTGTGGTCAATAAGTGGACTACAGGAATTGCTCCATTATTCTTACATTCCATCTGGCTTTGACACACATAAATTGGAATACAAAATTTATGTTCTTTGCTAGTGTATGCCTGGAATCAGTCCCATCATTCCTTTTAGCTTGGAGTCTGGAGAAGATTTATTATGCAAGAGGAAAAACGGAGAACCAAATTCCCTCAAAAACAAGAAAGAACAGCGTTGATATAATTGATCGAGGAGATCGTTAGAAGTTGAGATAGATAGCATGTCAGATTTGTTATAAGATCAAAGGGCACCGAAAGTAAACTTCGAAGCACATTCCAATGCTCAAGTCAATAAAATGGATAAGAAAGAGGGAAGCAAGAGACTGATACGACCAATTCAAGTACAACAAGCAGCTTAGACATGGAGCTTCCGAGAACTTACCTGAAACAAATAAAAGTCTGCTTTCAAAGCAATTGCTGTTTCCATTTCCTCACGTGCACCTGAGGCAGGCAGCTGCCTGATGGCATATGTATATACATACTAAAATATTTTTATCACAATCCTGAATTTGTCAGAGAGTCCAAATACAAACATGTTTATTCTTTTTCCCAATTTTTCTGTTGGTAATGAAGCTAAAGCATCTTTGAGTCCAGAAACAAAGAATATGCCAATTTATGGATGTGGGGCAAGCTCTTTGAGGGCCTAACACTTCTAGTTCTAGCCGTGTAAGAGTAACCAACTAGCCAATTCCTTGTATTAGCCACCCTTTGCTTCAAAGTTCAAAGTCATCATAGTGACAAAGAAAACTACCAGCCATTCCAATTTTCAGAGGGGAGAGGTTCATGTTATTGTATTCATAATTAAAGCATTAAATCATTTATTGATGACAAGTTCTAAGTTGAAGGTCAAAATCTTAAAATTATAAAAAAGGAAGAGAGTGATTAGAGCAAAGGTATGTGATGTTTTTTACGTTTGCATTCCAACATTTAAGTCAGAAATCGAAACTAAAAAAATTAAAAGCAAAGGAAAATATGAATGTAAAAAAAATTATATTAAATTGATAGTACCTAAATAATTTTATTTATAAGTGAAAGATGAAAAATCTATAAGATAAAATAGTGACTTAGTCGATAAATGTAACGTTGTATCTATCATGTCAGCTCAAAAATAAAAAATACTTTTAATTGTCTACTAATAATATGTAATGTAAAAAAAAAAAAAAACTAATATGTCTTTGGGATCCAAAAATATCCCTAACACCACTCTTAATTAATTATAACTTTTCATTCTATCAAGTTAGTATAAATGAGATTTTGCAATAATCAAAGTCCACAACAAACTAGTGTCCATCCCTTGTGCAAGAAGGAAAGCCAAGGAGAAAAATAATCACAAAATTTTTAAAAAAATTAAAAAGTGAAATCAAGGTTTGCAAAAACCAAAAGCAAACACTCATCTAACATGAACCAGAATCATGATTAGGTGAAGAAATCTTCATGAAATTCTTAATCATAGCTATAGGAAAAATAAATAATTATTCATATATAGGGCGCGGTTATGAAGCAATGACATTGGGATGGTACTGTAGCATGTGAATCTCGTGTAGCACGTTTCTTCATTAATATATATGACATGTGCACGGCACATTTGGTCTACTGTTGGTGAGGCTTTCAAGTCTTTAATCCTTTGCATTCTACTGTCCACATATGGTTGAATTTTTTTTTTTTTTGGGTACAAATGTGGTTGATATATTTTAATATTAAGATTTAATTTTGATATTGACTTGCCAATCCCTAATTATTACTGTTAATTTGGTTTTGAAAGTGAAAGAAAAAGAGTTTGGTATGAATACCAAATGCTTGAAACAAGTCATGAATAAAAAAACAATCCAAAGTCCCACCCCATGATTTATCCTGCACTGACGGGCTGTTTTACAAAATGCTTGGGACGTTGATCTGAACTTTGGTGTCGGCAGGCTGCATTCTGCCAATATTTTTTTACATTTTTTGGGTGTTGAGAAATCATTATTGCTTAATGGAAGAAATTGTTCATCATTCATTTCACAATTATTAATTAATTTTTTCTAAAGGACAATGATCTTGTTACTTCACTATGTGGTTCTTTTATTTTTCAATAATTATAAAATTAGAATCAATTTAGTGTCCTCTTATAAAGTTCATTGACGGTTTAACTTTGAAGGAAAGTACAAAAACATAAATGTATGAGTTGAGCTGCCATGCTGGTTGGCTATGTGGATGGTGATGGCAACAATGAAGTTGGATTGGATTTATTTAACGTTTAATTTTAATTTTTAATTAAAAAATTAAATATTTTTATAAAATCGAATCAATCAAAATTTAATTGAATTCAAATTTTATTTGTCATCCCTATATGTGGGTGCCCTGCCTAGTTCGTGCAGTCTACTCGGTTTTGGAGCTTGGACAAAATTAACAATCAGCTACACAGGACAACAAGCACAAGTTTCACAAGTGAATTCAGTTCAAAGAGAGTAATTTACTGAGAAATTAAGAAGTCTAAGTTCGGATTTAATCTATACTCGAGGGTCAAAGTCAATGTTAGAATTTGAGAATACAACACACGGATTGGTAAACTAGACTGAATATTTAACTCTCAACGTTAGATGAACAATTACCGACCAACAAATTCTTAACAACTCCGGTTTAATTTCCCGCAAATGCTGAGTTGAAGATTTATCAAATGAATTGGAAAATTTTTTTTTTATTTCAATCGAAGTTAAAATAAAAGATGGCCTTTATACACTGTGGCTACCTGAGAGTAGCCAATAAGAACTCTTCATCGGCATAAAAGTCAGCCTCGCTATGTTTTCCTAATCATTTATACAGTAAAAAAAATCATCACCAATTGCTACCAAAAAATGAAAACGAATTGGACCAGAGCCGCCGGAATTGATGAAGGCAAGTAAACAACTTTTCTCTTCTTCTACCTCAAGGTGATCCAGGTCCCGAAAACTGACCAATTGGGTGCCTGATCACAAGCCAATTGACGAATCCGATCCAAAGGCGATGAAACGTAACTTGAAAACGAAGAAATAAGGCTTGAATTGTCTTGGGAAATTGATTGAGAAGAAGCTGTTGATTGAGTTGAAACCCAAACTGAAAAATCGAAAGGACATCTAGGAGATACTGAAAATTCTTCAAAAGAACATCTTGAAGATGTTGATTCTTCCTCTTCACATCGATTCATTGCAATTGTGTCATCATCACCAGCCATAAAAGGATGATTCAGGAGCATCTCAGCAGTCCATCTACTCTTTGGATCCTTAACAAAGCACTTTCCAAGAAAATCTTTTCCTTCCTCAGATAACTTTGCAGGAATTGCAGGCAATTCATCACTACGCCCAATTTTAATCAACAAAGCCGCCACGCTTGCTCCGGGTTTGAAATTCCAGGCTGGTTTCCCGGTGAACATCTCAACAACAGCGCATCCAAGTGCCCAGATATCCACCGGTGAATCATACTCGTTTTCGTTAACCGATTCTGGTGCGATATTGAGAGGAGTTCCCCTGATTTCCATCCTCCTCTGTTCTTCTCTCCCTTCTTGCCCGTTTCTCTTTGCCAATCCAAAATCAGCTATCTTGACATCCTCATTACCAAACAAAAGAATATTTTGAAGTTTAATATCACAGTGAGTAAACCCTTTGGCATGAAGAAAGCGTAGCCCTTTAAGTATCGATCTCGTATATCTTCTAACATCGGATTCTATTAAGTTTCCACCGTTTTTCTTAACCTGGTCAGCCAAGCTTCCTTTACTAGCGTACTCAAAGAACAAATTATACAATCTCCCACAGTTCTCAATGGTATAATCATCGCCAAAACAACGGATGATTTGCGGGCAAAAACCAATTTGATCAAGCACTTCCTTTTCGTTCTTGAGAGAAACAGAGTCGATAGTTTCACAAGACTTGACAGCCATTACAGGAGATTTTGAAAAGCCTTCTTTAGGTACCACCAAATTGACGGTGCCAAAACTTCCACGTCCAATCGTATCCCCTCGAACCCACTCCATTGGAGACTCCAACTTTCACTCACGGTTGTTTTCTCGGTTGGGTTTTGGAAGAAATCAAAGGCTTCTTTTTGCTTGTTTCGTTGAGAGAAAAGAAAGGAATACACAAGGTGCAAACAGAAGCCACAGGGCGTTAAGCGGCGCAAAGTTCTTTATATATGGTAGGATTGTTTTTGTGGGTTTTTTTTTTTTTTTTTGGTAGGCTTCAATTCCATTGGACGAATTGAAATTTCTATAATTGATTAATTCACGTGATAGGCAAGGATATTTTATTTGTTTTTTTTTTATTTTTCCAATCTTGGGTATGAAAAAACAGATTACTCCAGTTTTGAAACGTGGTCAATGTGGCATATCTGTTAACGTTTCTAGGTTTTAGTCAACAGTACACGCACGCGGCCTTGGATTTTTTTTTTTATGTTACAAAAATTATAATTTGACTAAATTACCCTTGTTTTCTTCCTATTCTTACCGTTGTGTACGATTTTTACGAGTTGTTAAACTGTTAAATAGCATGCTCATATGCGGTCAGATTTGGATTTCTTTAGTGTTGTGCTTGATGTGGGTTAATTATTTTAAAATTTATAGTAATTTATATATAATGTTTAGATTATCATATTTTATAAATATTTGATGATTTTATATGATAATAATTTTATATTATCGATAGTGATTAAATTATTATTTTAAAAAGTGATTTAATTTTTATTAAATGATATTTTTTTATAATTGAAATAATTTAAAATTGATAATAATTAATTTTAATTATTTAATATGTTAATTAAAATTTATTTTTTAAAATTATAATTATTTTACATTACAAATTTTTATATTTTTAAGCTAATATTCATTTTAATAATTTAAAATAACTTGTATGTGTTTTTTTTTCAATTTTAATGTGATATATATATATGTTTATTTTTTGTTATGATTTTAATAGATTAATTTTATTTTAATTAAATATTTTTATTATAATTTATATTATAAAAATTACTTTACTTATCAATAAATATATTTGTTAATTTAATAAATTAATAATATTTTATTATGAAATAAATAATATGTCACTAATATATTATAAAATTATTATCTTTAAACAATATTAAAATCATTAATTTAAATAATTATTACAATAAATATGACTAGTTTGATGTTTTCATGTAAAATAATATTTAATTTTGAATAATATCAAATATAGTAATATTTAGTTCTTAAAAATTAACCATTATTAATCAAATAATAATTTACTCACTATGTAAGGAGAATGCTCAAACTAAAGCATATTTCCCTTAATATTTCGTACTGTTTATTTATGAAATTCTATAAGATAAACTAATTAAGACTCATTAAAGATGAGTTAAATTCATTTACATGGGCAAATTTTTTGTTGTCCACATTCATTTAACCTTTTTTGTTAGTAAGAAAAAAACACTTTTTTATTAAAGTTGGGGGACGCTCAAGTTGTTCATTTATGGCAAGCATGGAAAAGAGCCGTAGCTAGCCTACCTTTGGCTCCACCCTTGTTACTTTCGGCAACATGAAATTCATCGAACATGTTTAACGGCTCAACATTTGATAACCTAATATAAATTTATTAATAATATAAATTAAAAGTGTTCATAATTTAATTTTAATTAAATTAGTTTAGTTCAATTATTTAAATAATTATTAAATTAATTTTAATTAATTAATTTTTTAAATTAAAAAATTTAATTTAACTAATAAAATAAAATAATTTAATTTAATTTGAAAGTAATTGATTCGATCTTACTAACATCTCTAATATAAATTTTTAAAAAAAAAACTGCCGTCAAAACGTCAAATTTCCTGGCGAACAGAAGAAAAATACTGAAATGGTAGATTTTGTCGGTTATTGGATTAGGCCACGAACCACGTGAGCCAAATCTATACCGCAAGTAGCTGACTCGACGGTACGACCGCGTCTAATCAATTTATTACGTAACAAAAATGACCCTCGACGGTATATAGGGAAGGATAATAGCCCACTAGCAAACCAACAGAAACAAATTGCACCATGCAATGCACCAGGTGCGGTTTTGAGTGTTCTATTAGTCAATGTCCATTAAAAATGCCGCCTCTTTTAGTGGGGACATCTACCTGAGCCGTCTGAGCTCACGTAAACGCAACCGTGAAAGGTTCAAAGAATCTTGGCCACACTAGCCAGGGTCAGGGGCCAGCCATAGCCAGGCAGCCCTGTTTGATTTTGACCATTTTGGCATTAGCCTCCGGTTGTTTTGCTCCATTGTATTTGGCAAAATTGTTTGCTTTCCGCTACACTATAATTGGTGAGCGTTTATGCTTTTTTTTTTTTTTTAAGTTAATCCTTTGGATAGATTGTGAAAATGGGACCCAGAGTGATATTAATCTTGTTTGTTCGTTGCATTTGGACTTACACAAGTGAATTGGATCCACCAATCATGGAGATTCTCCTATAAGAATTTTTTCCCGTTTTAAATTTTAGAAATCAAGTTGGCTTGAAATTATTGCAACTATTGAGCATTTTTAAAATTATAATTATAATAATTTTTTTTATCATAATTATGATAATTATTATTATTATTTTTAATTTTATTAAAACCAATTTCATTATCCATTAAGATGAACTCCACTTATGCTGAACAAATATTTGAGAAAAAACTATTAACATGAGCGAAAGAAAAGGGCAAGTTCATAATTCCCCACGTTTTAAAAAATAAGATTAGGCTTTGGTCAAGCTCAAATCGCTTAGCTGCTGAACTTGGAAGAAAGTTTTAGATAAGGAAATATTGGTTCATTGAGAAGTACCATTCAAGTTTACGTTAACTCAACACTATTCTTCGAAGAATCCACTAAAGTTAGTCGGCGTTGAAAGTCCAATGGTTTGAATCTAACTTTATCAAAGCTACTTCTATTTTAGGATCATCAAAAGCTCACTTTTTTATCCACATTGTTATTTTAAGAGAATCAACATCACCTTTCTTTTTATGTCTTTTCTTAATCAGATAAATTCTAACCAAGTACATGCATTTAATTTAAAGGAAATTTAAATTTTAGTAACATTCAAATAAAAAAATAAATTATATTGTAAAATCAAATAATGTCTACAAAAATGTTATATATAATCCTAACAGGTCTAATGTAATCTTTACCTCAAGCAATCAGTCATAGGGACAAGCATAAGGGACACCAATTTAGTTACAATTTGTTAGGTACAAAAAGAAAGTTGTCAAGTGGATACCATTCCACCCACCGGAGCTGCCCTTTTTGATTGAAGACGAAATTAGTTGGATCAGCTAATTGTCAAAATAAAAAAAGATTCAAGCCAGGACTAACACCAACGGACTGCAACACTCCAACTTTGAGTTACTTGACAAATTTGTTTGCGTATCAGCATACAACAACGCCACTAATAACTCAACTATAATCATATCAATAAAGAATCTGGAAAACAATTAAGATTGAATTTAGATCCGAATCTCTTGATTGTATTTTAGATTTGTCTGGAGTTTGTAACAAGAATTTTACACTGTTCTTCCACTAAGCGCAAATCTAGCCTGATAGGATTTTTGCGAAGGAAAAGTTCAATATAAATATGCATATTTGTCAAACTTTTGTGCTTAAATCAATCGATCTATGTAATCACTTTTAAATGATAACATTTAGCACATTTAGACTTTAAATTTTAGTATTTATAACTTTTTTCTGTTATCTCCCCATTTGTAGAAAAAATGTATGTGCCCAACTTGGCATCCAAAGTTAAACTTTGGGTGAGGACAAGTGCAATATTTATTAAGATTTCTTCATATCTTCAAAGAATTGACACATTAATTAGTCTAATTATGGTAGATAGACTAGGAATTTTACAACTTGGGATTTTGACAGAGATTTCATATCTCAATGACGTTACAAGTTTACTATTGCTCTAATTCTATTAAGCCATGGCTGCTGCAACTCCTTTGATTGCTGCATAAACTGTGCCGCAGTTTCATTTAGCAATCTCCAGAGACTATGATTCGTGTCAAAGATATGCTAAAATCCATCGAATTAATGCCTAGTAATTGGATGCTTTCGAGCTACAAAGTTTCAGAAACAGCACTTCAAACAAAGAAATGATGTGAAGGGAAAAATATCAAAGTTCACCAAGGATTTTTTTTAGGAATACTACATAACTTATGCAAAATTGGTAAACAAAAAGCCGCGTTGATGCTACAGTAATACACAAATTTCTTGGTTGATGTATATTTCTGGTTCAATTTCGTTGAACCTGAATTGTTTAGGACAAAAAACTTCCTATAATGGATGGACTATGGAGGTTCCCTTATTCATATATTAAATCAAATTCAAGGTGAGTTTCATGCCAAAGTTGATCGAATTTGTATATTTAATAAGCAAGAATTGGAATTCTTCATAGGAATGGCCCTCGTTTTAATCATTCAGTTATTGAACGTGTTTCAACAGCAATGTGAACGGGAAATGCAGTAATGTTAGAAACTGATATGCTAAACTCTGATGGTTTAGGAAATTCATAAATGTTTGAGATATCATCTGGATCAGGCCCAAGATTGCCCTGCCTAAAATCTAAACAGCAGAACCTGGCTGGGCTCATTCTTATGCTTGAAGTCTTATCTTTTTTGTTGATTGAAAAATGGAAGATTGTAATCAGTCATGACTTGAAATCCATTGCATTTTGCATGAGGTTGATGCCAATTAACCAAGAAAATCACCGGTGGTTAAGAATTTCAATGCTTGATTTTGTAAAATCACTACTGAATGACTGATGATGAAATAAGGTGCTGATTTCCTTGAATTAAGGAAAAGATAAAAAGAAAGAAAACCTCATTTCTTCCTTCTTCAGCAAAATTCAAACACACCTAATCCCAAAGTCTCAACCAACTCATGATCCAGCTATGCCCACGGGTGCCACTTAAATTTGTCTCATTAATGATGGTAAAGTAAGTTGCTAGAAAGTAGCTGGGACAGAGCATATTCTAGTTGTTATGTTATGATATTGAAGAATGGGAAAGTGTTTGATCTTTTTCTTTTTGACATGAAATTTGCTACTTTATAATTGTCTTGTGGCTACCAAAATTAATCATCAAAGTAAAACATAAACAGTAGGTTAATCATATATGTGAAGCAACTGGGATTCCATAACATCCATCACTTGTTATGACACATCAATCTAAGTT